TGCCAAAGACTCAGGCATGTCCTGGAACCAGGAGACCCTGCATCTCGCTGAGCCACCTCCACACCCAAGCAAACTGCAGATGTGTATGCCCTGTCACTGCATACAGGGGCAGTCCTGTGTAACCAGCAGCTACGTGCTCACCCCTCCCCAGAGCCAACTCTAGGCTGGAGGGGTGGGACAGGCCACCAGAGTGGCCCTGGACCCTTTGCCTAGACATCTGGAAGCTGAGTATAGATCTCTGAACTAAGATTTTTCTGCCCTCCTGGGGCCTCCATTCCCCTGGGAGAGACAAAGCAATAAACGGTTATACAACAACAACCAAAAAAAAAAAAAAAAAAAAAAATCCTTCTATAGATGTCAAATACTGTTACTGCCTTTCAGAAAGTATACAAATAGCTGGAACTTTTTTAGGCAGATGGGACACATTCTGTGTTGGAGCCTAGGCCAAAATACCTAGCTAATTGGCTAATGTTACATGTTCCTAATATTATCAAAAGCATATGTGCCTATATCACCTTTTCTGAATTCTTGACTATGATTGTCTTTCTCATTCAGAAGCTGGGAAGCTGGGCATAGTGGTGCATACCTGTAATCCCAGTGACCGAGGATTACAGTGATCTCAGCAATTTAGCTAGACCTTGCCTCAAAAAATAAAAAAAGGTTAGGGATGTAGTTCAGTGGTAGAGCTTTTCTGGGTTCAATCCAGGGTACCTTAAAAAAAAGCCAGAAAATGGAACTTTGTTCAACTGCTGAAAGTTATACATTCAGTGGCATAAAAAGAAAGATAATGGATAATTGCTACGGGTTCCAAAGCTGAATGAACTGTCCTAATTTTCTGAAACCATTTATACTAAATCTCAAAGGATTTTGAAAAGAACTGTGCTGTTTCTCATAATAAATGTAGAAGAAAAGGCAGTTTATAATTCAGATATTGATGAGAAGTATACAGAAAGAAAATGTATTTTWAAAATGTTCAGTTTAGCAACAGAATAAAAATGAAAACAGAAAGTCATGAAATTAAGTGTAGGTATCACTGGAACTGCTCAGTAATGCAAAGAAGTTAAGTGAAGAAATCAATTGTTCTCTATCCAGAAAGAACAAAGGCAACCTATATCAGATAGCATGGACATAAATTATTAATAGTCTTTAATTTAAACTTCTGTTACCTAAGCTGATTTTCATATTTTATAGTGCTTTTATAATTTTATTTCTCAACAGAAGAACCCCCAATTTTTCCAACTGAAATCTTATCAAACAGATAAATGTTAAGCTACTCTTTTTGAAATAGGAACTTCAAATGAGGCTAGAACAAAACCCACTTGACCTCTCCTATTCTCCATGCGGCACTCTTCTAAGAAAATAGAATTTGAAAATCATCAGTTTAAATAAGGTGTTCTATTAGTTCAGTGAGTCTTTATTAAAATGATCATGAGTAAAATTGATTATGAGAAAATAAAAATATTTTTTAATTTCTAAAGTAGGGTGTTTTGGTACTACTAATCAAAGTGTAATATCTTTTTAAAAAATATTTTATTTTTTATTTGTAATTGGACACAATACCTTTATTTTATTATTTTATTTTTATGTGGTGCTGAGGATCGAACCCAGGGCCTCGAATGGGCTGAGTGCTCTACCGCTGAGCCACAACCCCAGCCCAAAGTGTAATATCTTATTAAACAAATTTTCACTGTTCTCCACAACAGAAGTATAAACTAGAATCCTTTGTAAATTGGTTCTGTTCTTTTCTGCTTCAGACCTTACACTGTAGAGTCCTAAAACTTGAGACTTTCAAACAACTAAATTACAAGTTGGAAATCTAGCTATTCCTGTGGAAGTCTATTTGTAAACAGAGTGAAAGTTGGGAACACTTATAATCCCAGCAATTCATGATGTTGAGGCAGGAGATTGCAAGTTCAATGACATCTCGGGCAACTTTGTGAAATGCTGTCTCATAATAAAAAATAAAAAGGTTTGCAGATGTTGCTCGATGGCACATGTGTGAGGCTCTATATTCAATCCTCAGTACCACCACCACCAAAGAAAAAAAAAAGCAGAGGAAAAAAGTCTTTAACTTACCCAGATCACAAAGAGATTCATGAGATGGTCGATATGTGTTCGTTTAAAGATGGATTTCCCACTGTTCTGCATTAATTTGGTGTCTGGCCCTAAGTAAAACAGAGAGATATCAGACTCAGAGTCTTGAAATTGGATTGAAATATAACTCTATGATTACCTATTCTAACCTCTTATGCAATTCCAGGAGGCAAAGCTCTGAAGAAAAGATCACAGATGGTACGAGTAACTCAAAAGGGAACATTTGTTTCTGAGGATAGTCCAGACTACTTCTGTGAAGTGCATTCATGCTGACTCCTCTCTTGTTAGCACCTCAGACAGTTCTGACATATTTTTTGAGATGAGTTAATTCAGAATAGGAATTCTTAAGCTTCTCTCTTATTACCACCTGGAAAGAATTTCCTGATACAAAGATCTCTGCCTTCTTTTTAGTAACCCCACTTCTGGGCCAGGATATACTTAAAGCTTCTAACTGGGAATGGAATAAAGGAAGAGGCAATGGCAGTGATTTTACTTGAAGTATGAGCTGGAGGCTAAGCTTCTGTGGGGTTGAGAGATATCTGAGAACCTGTTTCTTCATGGAAGGGCAGATAGTAAGTAGAAGTAAGGAGTGATTAATAGCCATTGAGTCTAGAGCTAAAAATTATTAATTAGAGATATGGCTTCAGAGAAAGTATAAGAGGATAGAAGACACTAGGTAGCAATTTCTCTAGCCTTTTACCATCTGATCATTATTTTTACATGTGCTCTACAGAGGGAATTTCACCCATGTTTCCCCACAGGAGAACTGTAACTACTGTGGTATGTGGGCAACACTGGGAGTGTACAACATAAAAYGTGTCATTCTTTCCTCTGAAGCATTCCTTGAAGGGTTTGAAGTAATGCAAAATTTGGTTCAGAGCCTGGAAGCGACAGAGACCATATCTTCCATAGTCCTTAGAAAAACTGGGCCCACTCACGTGGGTTTCAAAAAGAAGGTGAAGATCATGGTAGAACTTGGCATTATGCAGCAGGAACAGAAACTAAACTCTTTACTGAGTACCTCAGGATGCCCTTGGTAGCATTGGTTCTTTGTGTGGAGCTTCCCAAAGCTGCTCATGACCATGTAACCAACCAAAAATCGGAGGGAAACCTTAACTAAGTTGTGAGAGTAAGCAACCTAATGGTTATTGCTTTGGGTAAGATAAAGAATTTTGGCTGAAAAATTGTCATGATGGCAAAAGGTGCRGCTTATGCAGTCAAGGGGGAGAAATAAAGAATGTCCACACACTTCTCCCTTTGTCAATGCTTTATTCTCTCAAATCACTCAATACAATTTCACTCGATAGGTTCTTAATCAAGGAAATGACAATCCTTAATGCTAGACACTGCAATAGACATAATCAATTCACAGCAAATAACTCTATATTAATTCTAACCACTGCAAACACACTTAATCATGACAGGCTCATGACAGACATTCCCTCTGCGTGCCAAGCTCAAGGGTCAGGTCATAAGTCTCAAGCCTTAGGCTCTAAGTCCAGCAGATGGACACTCACTCAGACCATGGTGATCAGATCAGGAACCAAGGCAGGCTTCTCCTGGGGTGGAGCTGAGGCTGGCTGAGGAGGTGGTCATAGGGAAAAGTCCTTTTCTCACCAGAGTCAAGAGACTGCTGTAGAGTTTGAGAGCAGGGAGAGCAATGCAGAAGGGATCAGGCAGATGAGAAGAGTTGGGATGTCAGTCCAGGTCTTCATCAGGCTCTCAGGCTTGTGTGTATCAGTGTTGGCTGGCTGAATGTCTGTTCATCTGCTCCATCATTATACTAAATTTTGGGGCTTCTGACCACCCTTTCAATCCCTATCAGCTGCTATCATTCATCCTCAGGTTAAAGCATCTGGTCTAGTGGTCTCCACCCTGATTTTCTTGCCTTTCTCCCTTATCAGGGTGAGGACAACATGCCAGAGACTTCACTCTGAGTCTGTCAGGGTGGGGAGAAGTGACTTGTTTGTGTCTGAGGGCCATACTGGAGGGCTCCATGAGGCATGGCTGGTGAGACTGCAGGTTTCAATCTGGAGTTTTAAAATGGAGTTGCTTAGGCTTGGGCCTAAGGCCATCCTTACAGTCCACCCCCCTTGATTCACAGTGTTCACGCTCAGGGGGTGCCCTAAGTGTACGCTGCAAATCAATACAGAGGCATCGCCTATTCCACCTGCCAAAGGCCGGACTCCACATATGTCCAAAAGTCACTTCTCATTATGGATTGTTGTATCATTCCATAACCACCAATAGTGACCATGGTCCAATTACATCTGGTTAATATCAAAGTGGTAGCAATGTACCCAGGGATTATAATTACAATATAATCATAATCAGGAGGTTCAATAGGGTTGAGACATTTGTAAATCGGTCTTGCATATAAGTCCCAATGAACCATTTCTTTTACATTTTCCAGTTGATCCAAATAGTTACTAYAAGGTAATCAAATGATCCTGTACAAATTGAAACCAGATATTGGCTAAAATAAAAGAATGTGGGTCGTCACACTGGCTTTACAAACATAGGTTATTACAATATCAGTTTCCATCTGCTTGTGTTCCAGATAGGTGTTGACACAGACAAGAGCATCCAATAGTGTTCTTTTAAGCAGGAAGTTCCAAGTAATCTGCAACATATTCATATGCTCTTAAGTTTTTCTTCTCTGGTTTTAATTTCTGTATTCCGCTTAGCATGTATCCTGAAGTTTTTAAGGCTATCATGAATATGAGTATAAGCAGTGCTTAGTGGCCACTTTCTTAATTTGGCAATTTGGAATGTGCCAGCACAAGGTCTCAAACTTGAGRAGCCTATAGAATGAACTTGTTACCAGTACTGGTAGTGCTCTCTGACATATTTTATGTTGGTTTGGTAGCTGCAAATATCATTCCAGTACCTGTATATGTGTCCACTATTGTGGCAACATACTTATTATGGAAATCCTTAAGGGGTTCTATGAAGTCAATTTGTTTTCTGTAGATAAAATCTTTATATTCTAGATCTGGTTGGGGAATTTTATGTAAGTTTCATTTTGGGGCATGTAGTACATCTGCATACAGAAGTGTTTAACATTTTTATTCTAATTTGTTTCATATATATATATATATAAATCAGCAGAATGCATTATAATTCATGTTATAAATATAGAGCACAATTTTTTATCTTTCTGCTTGTATACAAAGTATACTCACACAATTTGTGTCTTCTTCATACTTAGGGTAGTGATGTCCATCTCATTCCAGCAGTTTTGATAGCAATCCATTTTACAACTAAGTTCCATTTTTGGAACCAGTCATATAATGCATGTACTTCTATATAACCTAATTGTTCATGTAACTTTATAATATCATATTCAGCAATGTCTATTATTGTATTTTCAGGTTTGATATTTTTCCATGTTCCCTTAAATTTAAGTTTACAAGGATCTTTAGTAGGTTTTAGTTCCCAATTCCTTTCTAGCTTGATTGTAGCTGTTTTTGATAATTTATCTACTGTGTTGTTAAGTGTACTGGTGTCTGAGTCCCTGTTCGTATGTGCATCTACATGTGTAACTTTTATGTTAATTTTTGTACTGGCTTCATATAGTTCTTTCCAAATATCTCTTGACCACAATGGTTTTCCACTAATATAGAAGTCTGAAGAAGCAACACCATGAATCTGTATAAATATATATTTCCTTACATTTTTTTAACAAGGCCTCTCTAATGACTAATGCAACTGCTATTAGTTCTGCATGTTGTGCTGACATGTGCTCCCCTTGCTCTGTCAAGATTTTGCCTGTCTTATGGTTATATGCTGCTGCTTCCACTTAATAACTTCTTTCATTACTGTACTTTATCCATCTATAAACCATGCATTTTGTATATTTTCATTGTATTCAGGTCTCCATGTGCCTATATTTTCAATGTGGATTGTATTGGAAAAACAGGTACTAGTGCAAATGGTGGCTTTGCTACTTCTTCTGGATTTATTAAATATGCCTACTTTGGGATCCTCCTCTTGTAAAAATTATTGTAGGTACCATTGCCACATCAGGACTTTCTTTTCCCATATAATATTTTGTGTCTCTTTGGGGGTGCGTCTACAGCAGTCTTTAAGTGAAATTGGAATTCTTAATATAATGTGACCATTGGTCATAGTTTTAGCTTGTTTCAGAGCCTCAAAGGCAATGCATGCTAATTTTTCAAATAATGAATACTTATTGGATGCATATGGGAATGTTTTACAAAAGAATCCTATTGGTTGGGACTTAGTTTTGTTATTACAGAGTCCCCATATACCATAGTCYGGTGTGAAAATGATGTCCTCAATAATAAGTTCCTTGGATGTTATGCAGTTTTCTAGATTCTGTTATATACTGTTTCAATACATCTAAAGCTTTTTGGTGATGTGATTCCCAGATAAAGTCTTATGATTTCCTTGTTATTGCATATATTGGTTGTAAAATGAGATTTAAGAATAGTATATGGTTGCACCTATATCCTAATATTCCTATCAATTATTGTGCTTCTTTCTTATTGGTTGGAGGTTGTAGTCCCAATATTCTATCTATAATTTGATCTGGGACTTGCCTTCCTTCTGCTGTGATCAAAACCCCTAAAAATTTTACTGTTTGATCTGGTCCCTGTACTTTCTCTCCATCCTTTTGCTATCAAGTATTACTTCCTCTGACATTTCATGCAAATCTTGTTATCATATCCTGCTATTAGTATATCATCTACATATGTATATACTGAGACATCCTTAATTTTAAGATCCTTAAGGGATTCTGATAGTGCAATATGAGCTGTTAGTGGGCTATTTTTATAGCCTTGTGGTAATCTTTTGAATATTTTGTGATATTGCACAGAATTCCATGTAAATGTGGTCATCTCCCTGGATTCTTCTGCTATAGGGATGGCAAAAAACATATCTGAGAAGTCTATAGTTACAAAAAATTTAAAATTGTTGGAGTGTATATGTTGTAATATTGTGGTAATGCCTGGCAGGTCTCCCGGCATCTGTGGTGTCAGTGCATTGACTGCTCTGTAATCTACTGTAAATCTCCATTTACCATTAGGTTTTAAAACAGACCAAATTGGGCTATTTTAGTCAAATAAAATAGTTCTTTCTATGATGTCTTCCCTCAACAATTCTTCAATTTTATTRGTTATTTCAGTGTGTCCTCCTTTTTTTGGGTATTGTTTTGTAAAGCTATATTTAATTTTAGGGAGTACTATGGGGTCCATCAGTAATGAAGCTAGATGTGCCTGAGACTTAGTCATAATATTTTAAAACTTTTTGTAAGTTATCCATGATGGGAAAATTCTGGGTATAAGATCCATCCCTAGAACCTTAAAAGGTATTTCATCTAAAAGTATCTTGGTTTTAAAGACTTCTCTGTCCCATAAAGGGATAGTTACATTTTTCCATTTTGTATTAATTTCTATATTCTCTACTCCTATTAAATGATACCCCCAAAATAGTTACTTGGCTTCCTATATCTATTAGGAATTTATGTGTTTCTATTTTTCCTTTTTTTTTCTGTGAGTATTAAGGGTAAATCTATATATATTCTATTATCCCCAGGCTGTTCTAATATAAAAAATACTGTCTTGACTCCTGAGTTTCCCTGCTGTTGAATGTCATGTTCCTGTTGTAAATTGGTGTATTTGTGTGTCTGAAGTTGCTGTTGTGTTTGGGGAAGTTGTTGTTTTGTGTCCTTTGTCTGTTGTTTGATGTGGGTCATCTGTTCGAAGGGAATCTGTCTCCTGACTGGGATTTCTGTCCTTGTCCTCTAAATGGTGTACTGCTCCTGGGCCTCCTGGGTATGGAACTCCTCCCACATAGGGCCCTTTGTCTGGGAGGCTCTGTATTTACCCAAGGCTGCCTTTGCTCTCTGTTGTAAGAAATCTAATTTTGTTTTGTGAGGACTGAGCTGGAAAACTGAACTGGTGTGGTGAGGGCTGAGCTGGAAAACTGTACTGGTATGGTGAGGGCTGAGTTGGGAAAGAAAAAGATCTGACACCATCCAGCTCATTGGCTTCTTTAAAAGAAGTAACTACATCTTGTAATATATGCATGGCCTTTGAGTGCTGATGTTAAAGTTAGTTTGAGATGAGGTGGACCACCTCTAATTATTAGTCTTTTYATCTGAGGTAACAGCTCTGCCTGTAATGGCATGTTACATGTGTGTATATTGTATATCATAAAGTATATTCTTAATTTCCTAGTTAATTTAATAGCCTGTTGGTGTGTAGTCCATTGWWTCTGTGATTCAAAACTGCCTATATCTATCATGGGAAATGCCCTCACCCAAGCTAATGCTACCCATTCCAGGACAGTGTGTTCCTGCAATCTTTTCTTACTAGTATCAGCCACTAAAGCCTCACATATAGATTGATTTTCTACTATAGAGGTTATTATATGCATTTCACCTCCATTAACTCTAATTGGGTGGGCTCCATGCTCCAAAAGTCTTAGTAGAGATTCTACATCTTGCTCCCCATCTGGGAAGATTCATTCCTTAACTGATGCAGCTCTATTCTACTAAAAGTTCTCACTTCAACTTCCTCTTCATTATCACTATCTTTTGACCCCCTTTTCCTTGGTGTTCTGGTCATTTTTTGTGTAGTTAGCGGTAAAACTTCCCGATTATCTGGGTGAGTTTTCTGTCTATCCAGGGCCTTTCTTACGAAGGTTTCACCTTTTGTCCTGTCTTCATCTGTCATTAATAGTTTTAACTAGCAATCCCAGGATTTCTTTTGAAGTGGCTCTAGCAATGATTGGCTGAACTACCTCTGGGTGGGATGGAGGATATCAATTCCTTTAGTTACCTTGTTAAATCCTGGCAGCTTCCCTTGCACTGTTCTTTCTAGTTCTCTACAGGGACTAGCAGAACTAAGTTCCTGGTTACTTTCTTTCTTTTTAAAGATGTTATTGAATTTCCTCATTTTTCCAATATGCTRTAGACTAATTTAATATACTTTTCTCTACAAAACCACACAAAAGATGTATCTGTCTCTATATGCTGTAGTGCTTTTGCAATTTGATTTTTTAGGTGTCTGTGTAAGCACTTCTCTATCCAGTTCCTATGTTATTGAATATATCTGTCTAGGAAGCAGATTGTGTAATTTGCTATATGATGGTGTATCTGTGTGGTGTTATTACCAATTTGATATATGTCTTTGCAGAGGTGTAATGTCCTGTTAGGTTTATTGCTATGATTATCAATGTAAGCATTATAACAAGTTTCACTGTGTTTAGAAAAAGCTTCTGAATTTTATATGTGGTTGTCACACAGGCAGGACAAGACATTTCTCCCAGACATTTTGTTTCCTTGACTGCGTGACTGCCGACTAAGCCAACTGTCGCTATGGCAAAAGGTGTGGCTTATGCAGTCAAGGGGGAGAAATAAAGAATGTCCACACACTTCTCCCTTTGTCAATGCTTTATTCTCTCAAATCACTCAATACAATTTCACTCGATAGGTTCTTAAGGAAATGACAATCCTTAATGCTAGACACTGCAATAGACATAATCAATTCACAGCAAATAACTCTATATTAATTCTAACCACTGCAAACACACTTAATCATGACAGGCTCATGACAGACATTCCCTCTGTGTGCTAAGCTCAAGGGTCAGGTCATAAGTCTCAAGCCTTAGGCTCTAAGTCCAGCAGATGGACACTCACTCAGACCATGGTGATCAGATCAGGAACCAAGGCAGGCTTCTCCTGGGGTGGAGCTGAGGCTGGCTGAGGAGGTGGTCATAGGGAAAAGTCCTTTTCTCACCAGAGTCAAGAGACTGCTGTAGAGTTTGAGAGCAGGGAGAGCAATGCAGAAGGGATCAGGCAGATGAGAAGAGTTGGGATGTCAGTCCAGGTCTTCATCAGGCTCTCAGGCTTGTGTGTATCAGTGTTGGCTGGCTGAATGTCTGTTCATCTGCTCCATCATTATACTAAATTTTGGGGCTTCTGACCACCCTTTCAATCCCTATCAGCTGCTATCATTCATCCTCAGGTTAAAGCATCTGGTCTAGTGGTCTCCACCCTGATTTTCTTGCCTTTCTCCCTTATCAGGGTGAGGACAACATGCCAGAGACTTCACTCTGAGTCTGTCAGGGTGGGGAGAAGTGACTTGTTTGTGTCTGAGGGCCATACTGGAGGGCTCCATGAGGCATGGCTGGTGAGACTGCAGGTTTCAATCTGGAGTTTTAAAATGGAGTTGCTTAGGCTTGGGCCTAAGGCCATCCTCACAAAAATGAATATTTTGTTAGTGAAAACTGTACTTTTAGTACAGTAAGGAAAATAAGTCTATTTTACATCTTTTGAGTTTGGGAACTAGCTTCTAAGCTACCATTTCAGGTATAAAACCAAGGAAAGACATTCCACCAGGGCCTCCCTGGACTCTAAGCTAAAAATATATATACATATATATATATTTTTTTTTGTGGGAGGCCACCCCTCAGCTATTATAGATAGCATCTTCACTCAGCCTTGATCCAAGAAGGTTTTGATCTGGCATTGCCCTGGGGCTCCTCCCACTCTGCCCGATGCAGGTGATCACTGCCTTCCCTTGGCTAGGAAGTCTACTTTCTCATAGCTTTCTCCAGACTTTCTCTGCCTGATTTGGTGAAGAATATATTCTATGGAAAAGCGTTTTGTGTATCCCCCATATAAAAATAAACCAGACGTAGGGCTGGGGTTGTGGCTCAGCAGTAGAGTGCTCACCTAGCATGTGCAAGGCCCTGGGTTTGATCCTCAGCACCAATAAAAACAAATAAAGGTATTGTGTCCAACTACAACTAAAAAAAAATAAATAAATTTTAAATAAATAAATAAATAAATAAACCAACCGTGGGCTCATGTTCTCTCTCTTGCTTATAAGGTCTCAAAGAGCTGCCTTGCCCCACTTTATAAAAAATTACTTCCATGTYGTGTGGTCTTTTTGCTGCCAGCCTTTCCACTGCCCAGGAGAGACATGGGGCGGGGAGTTTTAAAAAGAAAGTTAACTAACACAGTTGTCAATTATCACTGAGGACATATCACAGAGGCTTCCTTTACTTTCCTGAACCATAATATAATCCAAGAACATCTCTTGCTCTAAGTATTATGCACTGTGATTCTAACTGTGGTACCTTCTGATATGAACTTTTCATATTATACTTTTATTTTTCCATAATGAGCACTATCTCTATTATCTCCTCATGAGAGTAGTCCAAATGAATCTCTCCCCTTTCATATGCAAGTTCTCTTCCTTTCTCTCTATATATACCCTTCACTGTATCCACATTTGGTTGAAAAGACTCATGAATGCTCTGTGATCTTGAACACAAAGCCTTTCTCTAACAAAGGTGGAGCTGATATGTTGGAAGCTCACTGCCTGGAAAACATAAGTCACTTTGTTTTCTAAGAAATAAAAAAATTTTACATACACATATCTACCACTCTGTAGCTACCTATTTCTAAACCATAGAGTACTGATATACAGCTGATGTCATATCCATATCCTAAAAACTAACTATCCACAACAGATTCCAACAGGCTGAGAGTCTGGTTATGGCTTCAGGGAAACGTACCAGTATAAATGACCAGGCCAAAACACCAATCTGTATTCCTGATGATGCAGCCGCGGAGCAGCAGCTTGTCATGGTCCAGGGGGTAGCTTTTCCTCTTATAGGTCAGGATTCCTGTGAATTTATCTAACTTGTTATTGGGAGGATCACACTTCACTTCTCCTGCAGAAAAACGAAGGAGTGAAAGTTCTGGCTCTGTAATATTTAGGTTTTCCTAACAGGATGGAAGGAGACACAACAGAAAAGTAGAAAGAAAACTCATGACATTTTTTTCCTATTCTGTCTCAGCTGCTCCCTATTTCTTACCAGCTCCCTTCAGAAAAGCAAATAAAAGTTTCTGGACATCAAAGAAAAATAATTATGTATGTGACATGGATCATCCAGAGAGGAAAACTCACATAACTTATTATCATCAGTACTGCCAGATCAATTGATCTCTAAATGTGAAGAAATGAAAAAAAATACTTAAAGAAAACCTAGTATTTTTTTCAAAATGGAAATAATTTAACATMTTCCTGATTAGTACATATATCTTTTGTAAGTATTTATGCTATACTTAAAATGATAAGGTAAAATCTATCCATTGTTTAGAGAAAAGTGCTATTAACCTTTTGAAGAATATCTTTTCAAGTTTTTTTCCCTATACATCAAACATTCATGTTTCCACAAATAGGTTTATGTTACATATACTATGCAGTCTTTCATAACATGCATTTTTTTCTCCTACTAATATGGCATAACTATTTTTCTATGTCAATAAATATCAACTTGTGGGCTGGGGATGTGGTTTAGTGGTAGAGTACTTGCTGAGCATGCGTAAGGCCCTGGGTTCAATTCCCAGCAATGCAAAATAAACAAACATCAACTTGCATATTGTCTGTAATGAATTGAGTAGAATTCCCTGTATGGATGTGTTGTATTTTATTTAGCCAGTCCTCTCCTGATGAAAGTTTGGGTGGGTAAACCTATTTCCTAACTTACCATCAAAGACAGAAAGCAGCTCCAGATTATCTTCCAGGTCACCGGTACTGGTGATGGCCTGCTTCACTTTTAAGTTGGTTTCACTAAAGTAAAGGACACAGGATCACTAGACTATAGGATATAAACACAGAAGCAGCACAGGACCATTTTTCCAACTTCTTCAAAGGGTTTTGAAAAATAGATGTTGCCAACAGAGTTTGGGCTAAGGGTTTGAGCTGTTGGAGTCCCTTGCACTGTTCCCTACTCTTGTGGGCAGTATTGAGTGAGACAACTTTGCAAGGAAGCAGAGTGCTAGCCCACTCATTCCCCTCTCCCCCCAGCAACATGTCATCACTACTTAAACCAACCCAGGAGATCTAGCTGGCCAGATGATCTAGACAAGTGGAAGAGACATCACCAAGCAACTTGCTCCCTTCAAGAAAAAAGAGTGGATTTTGGTAGGAGCCTGCACAAACCTCTGAGGAAACATACTCCTGACCTCATAAGTATGTATAGGGCCCTACAAAGAAGTCCCAATTAACCATTTGCTGACACAGGAATTTAAAAAGACAGAAGCAAAAATAGAAGCCACATTTCAGAAAGTTTGTGGAGGGACAATGAGATAGTCACAAGAAAAAGAAAAAGCTGATAAACACAAATCTCCATAAGACAAGCTCTCTACAGATGGYCCCTATCCTCCTAGACTTTAGCTCTTGTACATTAGTGAATTTCTACTGCAAAAACTCACAGAACATGGCATTTTACTGGTAAATAATTACTTCCACATTCATTTTTTTTCCCCCTGGAAACTTTGGAACTCTCTTCTGAAAATTTATAGTTCTATCTAGGGTATAAAAGGAGCTCAACAAGATAAGCACCAAAAAAAAAAAAAAAATCCAATCAATAAATGGGCCAAGGACCTGAACAAACACTTCTCAGAAGAGGATAAACAATCAATCAACAAATATACGAAAAAATGCTCATCATCTCTAGCAATCAGAGAAATGCAAATTAAAACTACACTAAGATACCATCTCACTCCAGTAAGAATGGCAGCCATTATGAAGACAAACAACAAGTGCTGGCAAAGATGCGGGGGGGAAAAAGGTACACTCATACACTGCTGGTGGGACTGAAAATTGGTGAAGCCAATTTGGAAAGCAATATGGAGATTCCTTGGAAAGCTGGGAATGGAACCTCCATTTGACCCAGCTATTCCTCTTCTCAGACT